AAAAAAAAAAAGAGAGAGAGAGAGAGACAACATCCTGGCGAAGGACCCAACCATGCGCAGTTGTGAATATCGCATTGCGGGTGCCGCTTTCGGTGGAGCTCCCTGTGGGGCCACGAAACGCTGTGCTGGGTGGGGGTGACGCATGCGGGCGGCACCACTGGGGCCTTCGGTGGAGGTCCCTGTGGGGCCACGAAACGCTGTACTGGGCGGGGGTGACGCATGCGGGCGGCACCACTGGGGCCGTCGGTGGAGCTCCCTGTGGGGCCACGAAACGCTGTGCTGGGTGGGGGTGGCGCATGCGGGCGGCACCACTGGGGCCTTCGGTGGAGTTCCCTGTGGGGCCACGAAATGCTGTGCTGGGGTAGGGGTGACGCATGCGGGCGGCACCACTGGGGCCTTCGGTGGAGGTCCCTGTGGGGCCACGAAACGCTGTGTTTGGTGGAGGTGCCGAAATGGGTGTGCGGGACGCATGCGAGCGGTGGCACTGGGGCCTTCGGTGGAGCCCCTATGGGGCCACGAAACGTGTGAGGGGTGTGCCGAAATGGGTGTGGCTGAGCATGCGTGGGGCCACGAACGTGACGCATGCGGGCTGGCCGACGAAAGTGAAAGCGTGTGAGGGGTGTGCCGAATGGGTGTGGCTGACGCATGCGGGCGGCAGCACTGGGGCCTTCGGTGGACTCCCTATGGGGCCACGAAACGTGTGAGGGGTGTGCCGAATTGGGTGTGCGCGGCGGCGGCACTGGGGCCTTCGGTGGGGCTCCCTATGGGGCCACGAAACGTGTGAGGGGTGTGCCGAATTGGGTGTGGCTGACGCATGCGGGCGGCAGCACTGGGGCCTTCGGTGGGGCTCCTGGCTACTGGGGCCTTCGGAGGAGCTCCCTATGGGGCCACGAAACGTGTGAGGGGTGTACCGAATTGGGTGTGGCTGACGCATGCGGGCGGCAGCACTGGGGCCTTCGGTGGAGCTCCCTATGGGGCCACGAAACGTGTGAGGGGTGTGTCGAATTGGGTGTGGCTGACGCATGCGGGCGGCGGCACTGGTGCCTTCGGTGGAGCTCCCTATGGGGCCACGAAACGTGTGAGGGGTGTGTCGAATTGGGTGTGGCTGACGCATGCGGGTGGCGGCACTGGGGCCTTTGGTGGAGCTCCCTATGGGGCCACGAAACGTGTGAGGGGTGTGCCGAACTGGGTGTGGCTGACGCATGCGGGCGGCAGCACTGGGGCCTTCGGTGGAGCTCCCTATGGGGCCACGAACCGTGTGAGGGGTATGCCGAATTCGGTGTGGCTGACGCATGCGGGCGGCAGCACTGGGGCCTTCGGTGGAGCTCCCTATGGGGCCACGAAGCGTGTGAGAGGTGTGACGATGATGGTGATGATGACGATGATGGTGGATGATGACGATGATGATGATGACGATGCTGATGATGATGCTGATGGGAGGAGGGAGGAGGGGGAAGAGGAGGAGAGGAGAGGAGGAGAGGAGAGGAACGCGGGGCAACGTCTCTTCAAAACGAGGACCCAACACCACAGGATGGTTGGGAACAAATTCTTTACGCTTCGCGTATCCCCACCAGCCCATCTCACAACAGCAACTCATGCGAAGCATGCCGACAGTCGTGTTTTTCAGGCGTGTGTCCGTTCGGCCCCGCGTATCTCCCCTGTTCCTCCTTCCTCCCGCCTCCTTGTACATCCTCCTTGTGGGGGGAGCGGGAGAAGGACGAGGCGGAGGAGGAGGGAGAGAAAGCGCTCCTCGTGATTTGAGTCGTTTGGGGTTTCTCGTCCTGGTGTGAGTCGTTCGGGCCCTTCTTCCTGGTGTGAGTCGTTCGGGCTCTTCGTGGTGTGAGTCGTTCGGGCTCTTCGTCCTGGTGTGAGTCGTTCGGGCTCTCGTGGTGTGAGTTGTTCGGGCCCCTCGTCCTGGTGTGAGTCGTTCGGGCCCCTCCTCCTGGTGTGACTCGTTCGGGCTCCTCGTGGTGTGAGTCGTTCGGGGCCCTCGTCGTGGTGTGAGTCGTTCGGGCTCCTCGTGGTGTGAGTCGTTCGGGCGCCTCGTCCGGGTGTGAGTCGTTCGGGCCCCTCGTTGTGGTGTGAGTCGTTCGGGCTCTTCGTGGTGTGAGTCGTTCGGGCCCCTCGTCCTGGTGTGGGTCGTTCGGGCTCCTCGTGGGGCCTCTTTGGGGGCCTCTTCTTGGAGCTCTTGGGGCCTCTTGGGGGCCTCCTCTTGGGGGCCTCTGGGGGCCTCTTGGGGGCCTCTTGGGGGCCTCTTGGGGGCCTCTTGGGGCCTCTTGGGGGCCTCTTGGGGGCCTCTTGGAGGCCTCTTGGGAGGCTCCTGGGGGCCTCTTGGGGCCATCTTGGGGCCTCTTGCGACCTCTTCAGAAGCGCAAAGAAGCGCTGCCCCCTGAGAAGGACAAGATGAGCCCAACACCTTCGTAAAATCAATGGTTTTGCTATGAAGGAAGATGAGCGCGGCCCCCTCAGAAGGCCAAAATGGGGCCACAACCATCGTAAAAGCAAGGATTTTGGCTTCACAGAAGAGGGGAGCATTTTTTGAGGCCCCCCCGTCGGGGCCAGAATCCTCGTGAGGGTCGTCGTTTTTTAGCCCTCCCAGGAGTCGAAAAAGACCGCCCTGGCGACGCTCGGGGGTCCCTGTCCAGGCCCAGGGGGGGGGGGTAGGGGGAGGGGTAAACCCCTCCCCGAAGGGGAAGAAGGGGGGTTGAGGACAGAGGGGGCTCGCTAAACCACTCACGCCCTAAAGGGCTGGTGGGATTATCCTGGCGAAGGACCCAACCATGTGCAGTTGTGAATATCGCATTGCGGGTGCCGCTTTCGGTGGAGCTCCCTGTGGGGCCACGAAACGCTGTGCTGGGTGGGGGTGACGCATGCGGGCGGCACCACTGGGGCCTTCGGTGGAGTTCCCTGTGGGGCCACGAAACGCTGTACTGGGCGGGGGTGACGCATGCGGGCGGCACCATTGGGGCCGTCGGTGGGGTTCCTGTGGGGCCACGAAACGCTGTGCTGGGTGGGGGTGGCGCATGCGGGCGGCACCACTGGGGCCTTCGGTGGAGCTCCTTGTGGGGCCGCGAAATGCTGTGCAGGGGTGGGGGTGACGCGTGCGGGCGGCACCACTGGGGCCTTCGGTGGAGGTCCCTGTGGGGCCACGAAGCGCTGTGTTTGGTGGAGGTGCCGAAATGGGTGTGCGGGACGCATGCGAGCGGTGGCACTGGGGCCTTCGGTGGAGCTCCCTATGGGGCCACGAAACGTGTGAGGGGTGTGCCGACATGGGTGTGGCTGACGCATGCGGGCTGGGGCCACGAAACGTGTGAGGGGTGTGCCGAATTGGGTGTGGCTGACGCATGCGGGCGGCGGCACTGCGGCCTTCGGTGGAGCTCCCTATGGGGCCACGAAAGCGTGTGAGGGGTGTGCCGAATCGTGTGTGGCTGACGCATGCGGGCGGCAGCACTGGGGTCTTCGGTGGAGCTCCCTATGGGGCCACGAAACGTGTGAGGGGTGTGCCGAATTGGGTGTGGCTGACGCATGCGGGCGGCGGCACTGGGGCCTTCGGTGGAGCTCCCTATGGGGCCACGAAACGTGTGAGGGGTGTGCCGAACTGGGTGTGGCTGACGCATGCGGGCGGCAGCACTGGGGCCTTCGGTGGAGCTCCCTATGGGGCCACGAAACGTGTGAGGGGTGTGCCGAAATGGGTGGATGGCTGACGACAAGCGGGCGGCGCAACTGGTGCTGTGCCATTCGGTGGTGCTCCCTATGGTGGCCACGAAACGTGAGAGGGGTGTGTCTGATAGGGTATTGGCTGACGCAATGCGGGCTGGCGGCACTGGTGCCCATTTGTGAGCTCCCTATGGGCCACGGGGAAAAAATAAAAAAACGTGAGAGGGGTTAAGCCGAACTGGGTGTGCGACAGCATGCGGGCGGCAGCACTGGGGCCTTCGGTGGAGCTCCCTATGGGGCCACGAAACGTGTGAGGGGTGTGTCGAATTGGGTGTGGCTGACGCATGCGGGCGGGAGCACTGGGGCCTTCGATGGAGCTCCCTATGGGGCCACGAAACGTGTGATGGGGTGTGCCGAATTGGGTGTGGCTGACGCATGCGGGCGGCGGCACTGGGGCCTTCGGTGGAGCTCCCTATGGGGCCACGAAACGTGTGAGGGGTGTGCCGACGTGGGTGTGGCTGACGCATGCGGGCGGCAGCACTGGGGCCTTCGGTGGAGCTCTCTATGGGGCCACGAAACGAGTGAGGGGTGTGTCGAAATGGGGGGTGGAACCGCATGCGAGCGCAGCCACTGGGGCGTTCGGTGGAGCTCCCTATGCCACGAAGCGTGTGACATCAGCTACGACGCTAGCTGCTGCGAGCATAGCCGGCGGCAGCACACAGCCTAACGTATGAGCTCCTAATTGGGCCACTAAACGTGAGAGGGGTATGGCCGAATAGGGTGTGGCTTACGCATAGCGGGCGTCAGCACTGGGGCTTTGGTGAGCTCCTTAAATGCTATGGGCCACAAATCCGTGTTAAGGTGTGACGATGATGTGGATGAATATGAACTAAGAATGGTGGGATGACGAATGATGAAGATGAAGATGATGATGAAATTATGATGAATGATGATGATGATGATGATGATGATGATGATGATGATGATGATGATGATGATGATGATGATGATGATGATGATGATGATGATGATGATGATGATGATGATGATGATGATGATGATGATGATGATGATGATGATGATGATGATGATGATGATGACGATGATGATGATGATGACGATGATGATGATGCTGATGGGAGGAGGGAGGAGGGGGAAGAAAGAGGAGAGGAGGAACGCGGGGCGACGTCTCTTCAAAACGAAGACCCAACACCACAGGATGGTTTGGAAAAAAGAAACAACAGAATGATCGGCGAGAGAGGCCCCCGGGCCCAGGGCAGCGGCGCACGCGGGGGGGGCGGGGGGGGCGCGGCAGACGACGGGGGAGGGGCGCGCCGCCACAGGAGGAGCACGCCACGCTCAGGCGCACGGGGCTGGACGGGGGCGGCGGGGGGCCGGCGGGGCCGCAGCCGAGAGGAAGGCGGGGCCCTCGCGGCGGGGAGCCTCCTCGGGGGGGAGCCTCCTCGGGGGGGAGCCTCTCGTGGGCCCCGCCGCGGGCGCCGCCTCGGGGGGGAGCCTCCCGAGGCGGGGCTCCCGCGCGGCGGGGGCGGAGGCGGTGCCCTCGCCGGAGATCGATCGGCGGCGCCTCCTTTTGGGGGAGACTTGGCATCGCTCGGACGTGTGCATTTTTCCTTCGGCGAGGACCATCGAGGAGCATCCTTGATCATTTGGCGAAAAAACCACGCACGAAACCGACAACAAAAACACAGGGAATGGACGTCCGAGCGATGCCCAGGGGAAGGGAGGAGGTGCGGGCCTTCTCTCCAGGCCTTCCAGATGGGGTCGCAGTACAGTCGGGGCCCTGAAGAAGGAGCCCGTTTCCTTGGGGAGGGGCTCCGTCTTCCTCGAGTGTTTCGCAGCTTGCCTCAGGCTTTCCTCACGTTTTCGATCGGGAATCGAAGTTTAACTGGTGGAAGAAAAGGGGCCTCGTTCCTTATTTAGGGTTCCTTAGGTCAACGCGCCGTCTGCAGGCGGGGTGGCAGGATCGCGCCGCATCGCCGATGTGCACCGGCGATGCAGCGGCGGCGCGGCGGCGGTGCGGCTCGACGCGGGGCCCAGTATTCTCCGCGACGACGTCGCCGATGCATCGCCGACGGCGCCAATGCATGGCTGATGCATCGCCGATGCATTGCCGATGCGGCGAGATCCTCCGACCCCATCTACTCGGACCCCCTCTGGGAGGCCTCTATACTCCCAGAGAGCTCGGAAGTCCCCCAGCCTGCCGAGAAGTGTTCGGAGCCTTCCCCGCAGGCGCAAAAGAACTTCTCGCAGGGCGCGGGGGCCTCTCTGAAGAGGCTCGCTTCCTTCTGGGGGAGGCCTTCTCCTTCTCGCTCCCCCCCTCGCTCGCCGCCGAGAAGAGCAGAGCACGGCATGAGCGTAGACGTTCGGAGTTCTGCTCGGATGTCCTGCATCGAAGCCCGGGGCCCCCGTCGCGGCGCCTCCGGTGCCGCAGGAGGCCGCGTCCCCCCCCGCGCCAGGGAGGGGGGGTCCAGCGCCGCGCCAGGAGACCCGCGCGGATCTGCAACAGTCTGTGCTCGCGCCGCTGCCTTCGGAGGGGGTTCGACCTCCTACCCTGACACGTCGATTCAGGAATTGGCCGTTTGGGGTTCGCGAGAGGGCGCCGCGGCCGCTATTTTTGCGGGTCCAGGTCCGTCGGTGGCGGTCCCAGGCTGGTTTCATTGAAGGGAGGCCTACTATAAAGGGAGGTTCGTCCACCGCCGATGTTTGCTCTTCTGTGCTCCTGGAACTTGGGAGCTGCTGGGCGGCTCGCCCGGCTTCGCGACCAGGGCCCTGGCCGAGCCGGGCTGGTGTTGCCCCGGCTCGGGAGGACAGTCATCGGGCTGGGAGCGGTGGGGACATCGTTCCCCGCCAGCGGTCGAAGGCATCGCGCATTGCATCCGAACGCCACTGTTCGTGCCCCTCATCCCCCCCGGCCCGTGCCTCCCGACACGGTAATGGTTCTCGTCGCCGACGAGGGGCAGGCGATCGGCGCGGACGAGCGCGAACGGGGACGAGCGAGAACGAGGGCGGCGATCGGCGAGGGCGAGCGGATGGCCGCAGACGAGAGCGATGGCGCGGGCACGGGACGCACGAGAGCCAGCCGTTGTTGCGCGTGCGTGCGGGGTCGGCCCAGACATCGGCTGACATCGAACGGTCCGCGCGGTCGTGTAGCCGCGGTCGCCTAAGATCGAACGACCCACGCGGCTTGTCAGAAAGCAGCGCCCTCGTCGGCACGACCGGAGCCCAGCGAAAAACGCCGCATCTCCGGGTGGGGGGGCCTGCCAGTCTTGCAGGCTGCGGTGTTCCTCGTGCTGCCCCAGCGCGGCTTCGGACGCGGAGTCGTCGTGGGCTTGACGCGCTCGACATGGGCTCGATTGGGGGAGGCGCACGACTGGACAGGCGAGGTCCGCCGAAGATGTAGCATAACAGGTGGACAAAAGTCAGGAGGAAAAGAAACACACAGACACAATTAATCCTCGATCCCCCAGAAAATATGGGAAAATATGGGAAGTGGTGGGGAAGACAAAAAACCCAGAAAATATAAGAAAATATGGGGAATATGTTTATTTGTGTGTATTTATTTGTGTGTCCCAGGGCCCCTTCAAAAAGCAGATACGTACCTGTTTGGGGGCAGATGCCCGACGGAAGTTTGTTCCCAGGGTGCGTATATCGTTGCACAGTGGAAGCCCGTGCCAAGACACACCCTGCTTGCCTCCAGGGTGCCCTAGGGTTTCTTGGGTTTCGATGGCTTTGCCATGGAAAGCGTGACGTTGTTCCCACACCAAGAATCGATGGGGTCTCAGGGCTGGGTTTCTTCTGGCAGGTTTCTTATGGTCAAGCTCCTACTGTAGTCTCTTTGGGGAGTTGACGGGGTCGGGGTACCGCTCGGACGAACGTGGCATCGATGTGTGATGCTCCTGCGGTTGGCCGCGGAGTCTCACTTCTTTCCTGTGACTTGACTACTACGCATGGTGGGATGCTCCTGTTCACTGGGGCAACGCACCGCCCCTTGCATACCCCTGTGTTTGTCGTGGTCGAGCTCGTGGGCGAGATGGCGGTGGGTGCTCGTGGGGACGATGCTGCTTCTCTTCATCCCCTATGGTTGTGACTCCGTGCCAGTTAGCCGGGACAGCAGAGCGAACGTGACATCGATCCTCTTGCCTCTTCGGTGCCTCGGCTCTTCCCTCCCTCCTTGCTTATCGGCTCGCCCTCCCTCCGCTCCCCCGTTTCCTCTGCGACTCCCGCCGCTACTGCTGCGGCTGATGCTGGAACTTCTCCTGCTGCTCCCTCGTTGCTTCGACCAGCCCCTTATTTCATTTTGTCGGCCACTCGATTTGCAGACTGGCTCTGGTGGTCCCTTGGCATCGTCTCCGTTCTTGCTCCCGACTCCACCGCGGCCATCTATCTCATTTCATGTCGCTCGTTCCCCCCCCTCCCTCTCTCATTATCATGCTTTTTTGTTTCTCTCTCTCTCTCGCTCTCTCTCTCTCTCTCTCTCTCTCTCTCCCTCTATATGATACTGGAGAAAACCCAATCAGGGCTATAGGGCGAGGAAGCTATAGGCCTATTGAGCTATAGGGCTATAGAGCTATAGGGCTACAGAGTTGTAGGGCTATAGTGCTATTGGGCTATTGGGCTCTAGGGCTATAGGGCTATAGGGCTTAGGGCTGTAGGACTATAGGACATCCCCGGGCACCCCCAGGGCACCCGGGCCCCAGGCACCCCCGGGCACCCAGGCACCCGGGCGTGCAGCGAAAATCGGCGACAAACCCAACCTAACCATATGAATCCGCTAGGACCCCTACAGAGGCAAGCTCTGATTGGGGACCATATGTATGCACTATATATTCGAATAGAATTTATATACATATAAATATGTGTATATATATATATATATATATATATATGTATATGTATATGTAAATACACACGTATATACATATATATATATATATACACATACATATACATATACATATACATATACATATACATATGCATATACATACACATATACATATACATATACATATACACAAATCTAGACGCCCCCTCCCCAGGGCTACATCTCGGGCAAATCCTGGTAATTACCGCCCTCCTGGGTCTCCCAGGCGACCCCAGGAGAGCCTCGGGACGCTCTCCCCGGCCTCCCAGGCGGCCCCGGGCAGCCCCGGGACGGCCTAGAACGCCTCCGAGCCAGCCTGCAAAGGGCTCCGAGACCGCCCACGACAGCGCCCCCACGGCCCGACAGGCGCCCAGGAGCACCCAAGAGAGCGCCAAGAAGCCTCCAACAGGGCCGCCCGCCCAAAAGAGCTCCGAGGAAGCCCGCGAGAGGCCCAAAGCTTTCAAGAACCCAAAGAACATCTCTATGCTGCAGGCGTTCTCACATTTTCGCCTCCGACACGCGTCCGAGGCTTGCGCGTGAACCCAAAGGGACTGGGACCGGGGGCCTTGGGGGCCGCGACCCCAAATTCAAATGGGTGGCCCGGGACCGTGTCCGCTGCTGGGAGGCCCCAGATCCACCCTCGGAGCGCCCAGACCGCCGTCAAAACGGCTCAACACGGCCACGAGTATCCCTCAACACGGCCCCCAGGAGTCTTGGACGGCTCCCGCGGCGTTTTCAACGGCTCCAGAGGCCTCGACGAGGCCCTAAGGCCTTTCCCAGACGACCCCCCATAGAGCACCGAGAGTCAACATTCGTCCCATTACCTTCGGGAAGCGTGCATGTTTGCATATCCGCTTCTGGTGTTTTCACAGTGACCACGAAGGCCCAAGACGCTCTCTGGAACGCCCCAAGACGGCCGACGAGGACCCTCAGGCGGCCCACAAGGATCCCAAGATATCCCAAGAGACGCCCAAGACGGTCCAAACGGGCCCTCCGAGGGCCTCAAGAGAGACCCAATGACATTTCGAGCCCTCCGCCCCCAGAGGGACCCCGAGACCGCCACCAGGCCCTCAAGAGGGCCCCAAGAGGCCCCAAGAGGCCTCCGAGAAGCCCACAAGAGGCCCCCAAAAGGCTTCCAAGAAGCCCCCAAGAGGCGCCAGGCGGCTCCCGAGAGGCGCTGGAGAGGCCCCAAGATGCCCAAAGAGGCAATGAACACTTTGAATCTGAACGGTTCTCGCGTTCTCGAATTCCCGGATCTCTCCAGGCCAAAGACAAACCACTTTATGAGTTCCCCAGATAGTCCCAAGCCGGCCCAAAAGGACCCGACGAGCGCCCCAAGACAACACAAGAGGGCCCCAAGACGGCCCCAAAGAGTACAGGACGGCCAAGGAGAGCCACAAGAGGATCCCAAGAGGGCCCCAGGCTCCCAGAGCCCGCCAGGACGCCCCCAAGGGGCCCCCGAAGAGGCTTCTGAGAGG